GTCCTTTAATTGAAAAAAACTCCCTCTGCGCCCCCCCGGGCGCGGAAAAAGGAGGTGTGACAGTGACTTGTGTGCAAAATTTGAGGTCAATCGGACGAGATTTGATAGGTTTCGACATCGGTTATGGAAGTTTGAAGTTTCAGGTTCATTGATTTCGAATTGAGGTGTGATTCGTCGTTTCGATGTTGTTATGTGTGTTTTGAGGCCTCAAGTAGGTCCGTGTTATAGTATGGTACTTGTTGGCATGTTTGGACGGGGTCCCAAGGGGATCGGGCATGTTTCGGATTGATTTCGGGCTATTTTTCCTTTATTTTGCACTACTATGTTTTTGCTAGTTTTCTGGTGTTTCAGCTATGCTTCACGGTCGCGGATGGAGTATTGCATTCGCGAATGGTAATTTGGCCAGTACAGAGGCTTGTTCTTCGCGTTCGCGTTTCCTCGGTCGCGTTCGCGATGGGTTGATTCTGTGTTTTTCGCGTCCACGTGTATAATTATGCGTTCGCGTAGTGTTGAGCGGAGGGACTGGCAGTGTTCTTCATCGCGAACGCGATGGTTTGACCGCAACGCGTAGTGTAAGGTGAGGCAATGTGGAATTTTGCTTAGCGAACGCGAGGCTTCTACCGCGTTCGCGAAAGAGGAGACCTGGGCAGATTATAAATACTTTATTTCGAGGGTTTCAGACATTTTTGCATTTTTGGAGCTACAGAGCTCGGATTGAGGCAATTCTTGGAGCAATTTTCACCCTGTGAATTGGGGTAAGTATTCTCTACTCGGTTTTGGTTATATTCCATGAATCTATCATCGATTTTAGCTTTTGGTCGATGAATTTTAAAGAGGAAATTGGGGGATTTGGCCTAAAGTTTCATAATATGAATTTTTGAGTTTTGAACACCGATTTGGAGTCGGATTATATATATATATATAAATCCTTTTAACCAAAAAAAAGGTTTCGAATAGTTTGTGTTGTAAGTTGGCTGCCTTATGTAATGATAATGCCCTAAGAGGCATAACTATAGCACATCGAGGCACTTGTAATGATGATATAGTGCGCTAGCACCCGTACTCTAGTTATTATAAATAAATAAACAACTTTTTATGCTAAAAAAAAACCATTTTTATTATTTATTAAATTGCTTCCTTTATCTTTTTGATCTAGATCTTCAAAATATTACTTGAATGTAATTTTAATTTTTTATCTTTTTATCTATCTTCTGTTATTTTTTCTCTCGATATCCAACATTTTTAAGAATGATGATAGGATTAATAGAGTTAATAATAATCTAACTATATGTAGATTGAAGAGGTGTACTTGCTAATTTTGAATTTAATTTTTATTTTATACTTTTTAATCACATTGAATAAAGAGAATTAGATTAAATTGGACAAAACTTATTTGATTTGATGATCACGTATTTATTTATGAATTAAAAATTGTATAAATTGAACTGAATTAATTCAAAATGGATCGAACCGATTAAATGTATACACTACTTCAATCTCCTTTATTATTGGTAGGTTCACATTATAAATCGTGAATCCGCCTGTGCAATAAGGTCATGGACTTCTATTCTTTTGTGAAAGTCTTTCTCACAACTCCATTTGGTAATATTTTTTTAATTACCAAAGAAAACGAATTATTCATGTTTGATTAATCACACAATGAAAATACTCAACTCGGCCAGTCTTTCCAGCTCCATCTTATAATCCTTTGCGCGAACAACTCCTCATTTGTTAGCCAAAAAAGAAAAATGAAAAAAAAAACAACTCTCATTTCCTTGTGAGTGTTATAAAATAAAGACCGTAAAGTACAGACAAGTATAGAGAGAAACTGTTATATTATTCGAATTCAAACTGATGTACATAATAAACTGAAATCTCTTCTATTTATAGAAGAAAGGAAGCTGTTGTCTAAGTTGTTACTATACCAGATATGGATAATCTTCTACTGAGAGCAATATGTATCCATAACGGAGTACTGAAAGGATAAGCTTATTATACCCGATATGGATAATCTTCTACCGGGGATAATATTTATCCATAACCGGGTACCGAAGTAATAAGTTTCTTCAGGAAACTTATTTCCAATAGAGTACTAAATAGATAAACATATTTACGGTGAAGTACCATATGAATAAGCTTCTTCTGAAAACTTATTTACAGAAGCTTATTTACAACGGATTACTAAATGAACATCTATAATATAATATATTTATAACAGTGAGTTTATATTGTGCCAGATGAGTGAAAAACCCCAAGGGTGGTTTACCGTAATTTTCTCAAATTTGGTTAAAAGTCGTAGTTGCCCTTCTTTGCACCCAGTGTGCTCTCTAGTCTCTACCACGCCGCTGTACCAACTAGTACGTCATTCATCATCTCTCTGTTTTCACCTAGCGACGTTTTCCCTTTTTCGATTTTATTGTGGCGCCTGTTGTATTTAATTCTACTTCATTAATATTTCTAGTTTCTTCGTGAGATTGGATTATGTTTAGGAATTAGCATGTGTAATGAATTAACATGGTTGTGAGTTCACTTTGAAGCTCACCTATTTGCCGATGTGGCGTCAAGGTCTGAATCTTGTGCGGCGAGCCTCACCGAGATTAATTGTTCTCCCTCATTCATCAAACTCTAGCTTCGGAATCAGACAAATTATTACTGGTTCATCTTCATCATCGAGCCCAAGCGTGTCGATATGGAGACGCAAGAAAGAAATGGGAAAAGAAGGTTTAATGGTTGCCAAGGAACTTAAGCGCTTGCAATCGAACCCAATCCGGTTTGAGCGGTTCATTAAGTCCCACGTTTCTCGTCTTCTCAAATCTGACCTTGTAGCTGTTCTTGCTGAGTTCCAAAGACAAGATCTTGTTTCTCTCTCCATGAGGGTAAAGATTTTATTTTTCTTTTGCTATCAATATTTTGAAATTTGGAGTACTACTTTTTTGCTGACATATCAAAAAGAAATGGAAGAAAAGAAAAACAAGGAAGTGGGACTGATAAATATTTAGTTGTGTGTAAGTTTTAGTTTTCATATCCTTTGGAAATTCCGAAAATTGGAGAAGGATATGGTTTTATTTGTTTTCATTTAGAAAAAACAAAAGATTTTTGTTTTTTTACTTTTTGTGGGCTTAACTTTAGGGTCACTGTGTACTGATAAAACTGTAGCTTATGTTGGTTGAACGTGGAAATTTTAAGTCTGGAAAATTATTAAGCTCAAGTCCTGTTAGAGTCTTGATTTATTGAAAAGTAGTTCTTGTAACATCTACTTGTTGCTGTACTATCATACTTCTTTGACAAAATTTAACATATGTTCGACAATATTGAGCACACGTGTGATTACTGATTCCTGCTTGGAACATTTTCAATTTGACTTCGATTGTTAATTCACCATAATTAAAAGAAATGTGATGTGGATATCCAAAGTGTACAATTGTGATGTTGTGCGTTATACGTGTTTCTTCTTACATTTACTTCCTATTGTTCACTTTAAGTGGTAATTCTAGAGTAGAGCAGGGAAACATTTGCCTTTATTTGGAGATTGAAGATATCCACTTTCGTTGATCATTTATGCAATGCTTATACTGTTGGCCATTACACTTAATTTTGCAGTTGTATGAGGTTGTCCGCAAAGAAATATGGTATAGGCCAGACATGTTCTTTTTCAGGGATATGCTTTTCATGCTTGCAAGAAACAAAAGCGTAGATGAAGCAAAGAAGGTATGGGATGATTTGAAGAAAGAAGGAGTGCTTTTCGATCAGCATACATTTGGTGATCTTGTCAGGGCTTTTCTAGACGGTGGATTACCTTCAGAGGCAATGCACATATATGATGAAATGAGGCGCTCTCCTGATCCTCCTATGTCTTTACCTTATCGTGTTATACTGAAGGGGTTACTTACTTACCCAGAACTGAGAGAAAAAGTGAAGGATGACTTTCTGGAACTGTTCCCAGATATTGTAGTTTATGATCCACCTGAAGATTTATTTGATGAAGAAGAATGGAGAAAGGAGAGCGATGATGATTAGAGTATGTTGCTGACTCAAATTTTCTCAATGACATTTATATTGTCCTCTGGACAAGAAGATAGTGGTTTGGTAAATTTGGTCTTGAGAGATCGTAAAAGCCTTTTAGCTGCTGAACAGATAAGTGCTTCTCATTTTGAGAATTTGAAATCCAACCCTGGAAAACCGTGCAAAAGTGAAAGCTTATAGGCACGCAGGTATGAAGCTTACCCATAATATCTAAACTGAAGTTTGGTCGCGTGCTTCTAATGAAGTGGATATATTATCTTCTGCAATTTGTGCTGGAAGAGAAGCTGCCAATTTTCTCCTTATTATGTTTCACTCTTATCAAAAGTTAACGAAAGCCTGCAGTTGTTGAGGCTAGCCATTATCACCATCTCATTTAGTTATTCTTATGAGATGGTGAATGTTAGTAAATGCTTCATCAAATAAATATATATGGTCAGTCATCCAAATTATTGGTTATGGTATCCTAATTCTTCGGAACAATCCGGTTTCTGCAGTACTGTTCTTGAACTCTAGCAATGTTCTCATATAGTCACATCATGTGATTGAGTTTTGATCTTCACATGATTGAAGTATCAAGCTATGTGGTCATTATATAGCATTTGGCACGTTGCAGGGTTCGATATCTTCAAGGCCTGTCTGTATATATTTCTTGCTGTCATCTCTTCGGGGCCTTTTGCTATCAAAGTATTCTTACTAAAAAGTGCCGATTCTGTGAGATTTTGGTTTTGGAGTTTTAAATATGACAATGCTATATTTGTTGCTGTGGAGTTTAGGTTTCTAAGATAATGCCTCGGCCTACAAGCACCAGAAAGAAAAATGGAAAATATAAATCATTTTGAGGCTCCTATTTGTTAGTCTAAGAAATGGAACGGGATTCGTCGAGCGTTTGGGCCGATTGACTGTTCTAGTTTCATGGTTCTAGCTTCAATGACTGTTTGCTCTTTCAGATCAAGCCAGGGATATGATGTTCTGATTCACTCGAGCGTTGACAAAACCAAATTTCTTGCATATTAGAACTCATTAAAGCTCGATTCGCATCATTATGTTCGATAAATGGAATGAGGGAAGCTCCAATAGAAAAATATTGAAAAGGAAAAATACTTCGAAGATGAACCTGTTCCATGCAATAGTCAAGAATTCTTGATGGTATCGAGCTGGAACAACTTGTTCTTCCTGAATATCCCGATTTAAGGCTAAAGAATTTCCTTGCGTTCGGGGTGGAGACTCTTTCGGCCAGATGGTCTAGAACTTTGAGATATGTGCCATTTACCTTCGAATAATTGTATTTGAGCAACGGTATTGTTATCCTATATTTGTTTGGGTCAAAGAGATAAAAGATGGGAGGAGAAGTAAAAAGTGAGGATTCTAGGTAACTTTTTATTTGCAAGTAAATGAAGAAGGAATATGGAGTTGGACTAAAATAAGAAGAAATGAAAGACAAAAATAAAAAGTTTATTGTTAATTAGCTGAAAAATGAAGAACAATGATGTGGCTAGCGTTTGTTATAGATTCCCAAATTTGATTTGGGTGAAGTTTGATTTGAATATGAAAATGTGTTTGGACATGAGTTTTCAAAAAATATTTTTTTTTTTTCACAAAAAAAATGAAACATGACTTATACCAACAAGTTCTAAAAATTATTACAAATATCCAACAGTACCTTCATCAATAATATTCTATATTATCGCAAACCATAGTCCTTAACATAAATAAATTTGGTACAAAATTATTGTCTTTATAATGATAATACACTATCAGATGATCGAGAATACGAAGCAGCATTGTTACAAAATTATAAATGGTGGGCCTTTTTATAAGATACAAAAGTTTAGGGCAATTTTAAAAAAAATGTAATAGTAATATTTGGGTTTTGGGTTTTGGGTTTTAGATTTTGGGAATTTGCCAAAATATAGATAAAATTTATGACAAACATGTATTTGTCAAAAAAAAATCCAAATATATTTTATCAAAATTTATGGCCAAACAGGTCTTCATCTTTCCTTCGTCGGGGACTCCGTCGCTGAACTAGTCATAATACATAGGCGTAATACATACGGAGACACCTAAAGTTGGCACGATCTTTCACTTAGACACTTAAACTANTAACGTAATGAATCTTTCTTATTACATTATCATAGATAGGTGGACTAGAAGAAGTGTCATGATACAACAAGAGTAAACATGAGGGAATACCTGACATAGAATATCCCAACCTGATATAGAAACTTGTACCTGTGACATACGGGTCTATAAGGCTAACGTCATCCATTATATACTTTAAAGGAATTTTTACATTCCTATGCCATATAGGAAACTATATTACCCTCAATGTTTAAGGTTTGATATAATTATATTTAGTATACCTAATTACCAATTCTATACCATAATGTGTTTTAACGGTACATTAATTGTACCGTATATCACTTCTAAATTAATGGTACTGTATATTCCTCCAAATCCCCCCCTCCCCACGTTTCTCTCTCCCAAACCCACACCCTACACCCACCTTTCAAACGATTATTCCCTCTGCTAAAACCAGAGAAACATATGTAACCCCCTTCCATTAAGGTCCAAATTAAAGTTTTTTCTTCTATAACCAGTCCAAATTGAAGTCAAATCTTCAATGTTCATACACACATTTACCTTCAACTTCAAATTTTCTCAATGAAGAAGAACAAACCTTCAAAGCACAGCCCTAAAAAAGTTAGAGAAGCTGATATACCTTCTTTCAATTTGGGTGTATTATCACCACATTCACCCAAAAAGCAAGGGAAATCTGCACATGCAATTGTAGATATGAAGCATAGTCTTTCTCCACGTCAAATCAGGGCTGAAGCTAGAACTAAACAAAAATATGATTTCGATGCTGGAGAGTCTTCGAGGCCAATCAAACAAGCGGAAGGGAAACGAAAAGAGATAGTGTTCGATGATGATTTTATAGAAGATGTGCCTATCAGTAAACCTGGAAAGAAAGCGAAGGTAGCTCCTAGTTCAAAAACTCCCAAAAAGAAGAAAAATTCAAAAAAAGCCCCTAGTGTTAAATCTCCTAAAAATGTTCGAAAACAGTCATTGGTGAAGGTAAGAATTTAGTAATTTCTTCACTAGTTATTTTGCTTGTTTTAGTTGTTAAAAATCTACATAATCTGTGTTGTTTTTGCTTTGTAGATTTTTTGTAGAAATATTGTATATAAATTGCAAATGTATCTATATTTTTTAAGCACTGAATTAATGTGTGATTATTTGTCTTAATTTTGAAGATTAATTATAGATTTGTTGATCTGTTTAAACTTATTGATATTTTGTATATTTTTTGAAGTTATTTTGTAGATAAAATGCAAATGTATCTATGTTTTTTAATCATTGTATTAATGTTAGATTATATTTTTTGAATTTTGCAGAATGGACATTTTTTTGCATCCCATAATGTTGATTATGAGGTGCTTAGATTCCAGACATTATGTGACCCTAGCATTACTAGCCAAATTAAAGCGCTTTTGTCTCCAAATGGTTTGAAGCTATTCAAGAAGACATGCTTTGGTAATTTACTGTCATTTCCCAATTTATGCATGCAAAATCAAGCTATTCATCTTCTTATGAAGTATGAATTGAATTCATCTAATGCTTCCAATTTTTCAGCTGAGTTAAAAAGTGAGAGGTTAATTTTTGGATTGAGAGAGTTTGCAGTAATAACTGGTCTTAGATGTCATACCGAGGTGACAGACTTTGGTTACACTCCTAATTATGTCAGTAAGATAATGAGCAGTTACTTTCCAAACAAGGTAAAAGTGGAGAAGACATACCTAAAACAGATAGTAACCAACAAAAGCTGGGTAAATGATGAGGATGCAGTAAAGTAATGTATTCTATATCTCGTAGAATTTTTCATTTGTCCTTCACAGAGAGACCATATTGGGTTGGTAGATAATTTTAGGTTTTATTTGGTGGAATTCGGTCAGTACGAGACATTTCCATGGGGTATTCAGTCTTACAGACAATTGATTGAATCAGTTAGGCGCAGGCTAAATCTTTTCGTTCATTCTTATCTCATTCGAGGATTTCCACTAGCCATGCAAGTATGGTTGTATGAGTGTTGCTCCTCCATCAACACTGATATAGCTACAAGGATTTCTAATTCAACCCCTCGCATACTTAACTGGTCAGCTGGTAAGGGTCATATTTGGTTAACTGCAATTGAAGACAGAATGATCAAGCCTGAATGGATGAAGCTAAATGGTTGTTGTTTATGATTATAAAATTTACCTATAAAATATCTACAATTTGTATACATATTGTGCCTTAATCAAGCTAGTTTATTTTTTTCCTCATTCAGTTCACCAACATAAATGAATCACCTGAAGAGCTTTCAGAGATGTCTTTGCTTGATAAAGTTGAGTACATAATTGAAGAGGTTGAACATGTTTCTAAGGATCCCAAAGTTGATGCTCCTCCATTGGAACCCAAAGAATCAACTAGAAAAGAGGACAAGGAGTCTATTATTCGTAAAATAAGCAAGTTAAAAAGAGGTCTTGAGAAGGTAACATGTATTCCTAAACAACATTGTGATGTATACATAATAGTGCATCTGTTCTTTATTGTATGTTAAGACATATTCTGAAGTTAACTATGTATTTTTTTTATTATGTAGGTCGATGAAAAGCTTGAAAATTTTAGGAAAGATGTCTTTGAAGAACTAGGTAGCCTTCGAGTGCTAATAAATGAGTCAGTCAAGACTGTTTTGCAGGTGAAAAACAATCCAAATGATCAAGTTGATGCAAAGGTAACATTTCAATTTTATTCAAATTAACAAAACTATTTGTGTCACCTCTAAAATATATGTCCTAACTAATATAAAGCTTTCAGTTTGCTAGGAGTTCAACCAAAAATACTAACCAACCAAAAGACAATAACAATTAGCAATTTCAGTTAAGTAGTGGAGAACCAGTGCAAGATAGCACCAGTAAAACAGGTATCTACAAAATAACTCCACTTTATCTACAATTATCTACAGAATATCTACAAAATATCTACAAGTTATCTACATAATAACTACAATTTGTCTACATTATATATACAAAATATATAAAAATAAATACAGCATATTTGGCACAACTCTACAGATTTATTTGGATCTTATAACTCACCTAAATATCTTCTTAAACTGTCAAGCCACTACTATCCATTATGATTTAACATTTTTAATGAAAAAAACAGAACATGTTGAAGGTGCACTTAGTGAAGAAAATCATCCTGCACGTGTTGATTTATATACGTATTTTGAAGGGGCAGTTGATGAAGAGAATGCAGGTATAAAATTGTATTCAGATATATTTTCTTTATGTTTTAATATTTTTACCATTCTATTAAGCTAGATATACATGGTGTTACAGAGAGGGAAGATATGCATGCACAATCTCCAATTCACGGAGTGACAGTAGCAGCTCAAACAGAATAGCAGAATCAGGAAGATGGCAATGTAGGTGAAGAGGCAGACTATGTGAATGTAGGTGATTCAGAAGACTCCGGAGGTGAGAAGAAGGAGGTTACACTTGATGATTTCGAGCTGCCTGATAACTTCTCCCAGTTGGTTAAGTTCGGCGAGCCTATACAAGATGAAACAACACCCGTGCATCAAGCTAGAACAAGGTAGCTGGGAAAGCATGCGCGATCACCATTTCTCCCTTTATATAGTTCTGGTAGCAGCACCTCGGTTGGACCTCAAATTTTTCACCTCAAGCACCCATTTACTAGTGTTATTGGTCAAAATGTAGATCCTGAGTTGTTGGATCAACTCCACAAGTGGTTATACCATGGTATCGACACATGTTCAAGGAGGTTAGTTTTCACAATTTGACACTTTTATTTTAGTATTCATCTTTTACGCATCCACTTCATGCAACAATTTTATTTTAATTTGTATTTGTTTATATAAGAGGAGGGCTCCTTATTCTATAAAGGACAACCAAATTAAGCAATGGTTAGATCTTGGAGTGGAAAAGGTTGACAAAAAGGAGCGGTTATTTTCCCTGGAACACCCAGGACAAGTCCTCAATGACTCGGTAAGATTCAATGTATTTGATTTGTAGATTTTTTGTATATAATTTGTATTCTGATTGTAGATGAATTGTAGTTATTTTGTAGTTTTGTGTAGAATATTTGAAGATAATTTGTAGAATAAATGCAATTTGTTTTTGTTGCAGCACATTAATGTTATAATGTATTACTTGTGAAAAAGAGGCAAGTATGGCCCCCATAACAAGACCAGGTTTACTACAACAGATTGTTTGTTCAAGACTAGGATTGATCAAATCTATGAAAAGTTCCAAAATTCTCCTCAAGAAAAGAAGTTTTCTGTTGTCAACCCCCAGGACGTTATAGCAGAATATATATTGGGGTATAGACTACTCGCAAATGTTGCATGGGATGGAGTTGATTATGTCATCATGCCCGTCAACATTGTAGAAA